ATCGACTGCCGTCCTCCGAAATTCGAGAGCGCGAAGACAAAGACGTAGCCGCTCTTTTTCAAGTTCAATCGGCCGTGCCTACACGCCGATGGCCGGCCCTCTTCTACGAACGCGTGTCGAGGGAACGACGCTCGACAGCACCCCACTAAACAATATCACCCCCCCCCCCCCCCCCCCTTCCCGCGCACAGCTGGCGGGCTCGCAGGACACAGCTTTTCCTGGTGGCGGAACAGTGCGCTTCGGCCGTCATTAAGGGGGAGGCCATTCGAGTAATCGGTAGAAGGCGGTTGCAGCAAAGCGGAAGCATTGCTCGCTCACACACGGGCAAGCGCGCAAACACGTAGGACGCGCAACGCTCACGAACGCGATTGTTCCTGAATAATAACCTATATAAAGACATCCTTTACCCAGTCTTCCTCCTTCTCTTTTCATTCGAAAATACTATCCGCGGATGAAAACGGTCTAGATTAGGTTGGCGGGGGCTTTCACGGTAGACTTGGAACGTAGGGGGTCGAGGACACGTCGAGCTGCTCTATAGCCGCTTTTTTCCTCGGTCTCCCCCATCTTTGATGGAAATAAAGGCAATTATTAAATACCTCGCGCAGATAGCTATACCGTACACTACACAGGTGGGGTCCCGGTGCCTGAGCACATTTTGGAGTTCTTTGGAGCAGAGAGAAAATGGGGTGCGACGTCTGTACTCCATTCCCCGTTAGTCGATTCGGTCATTTTTGCTAGAACGAAGATATGCATGTATTGGTTCAGAGTTTTCTACTCGTACGAGTGTCAGAAGCCTCACGAATTTCGATCACAATATTAAATAAAAACCGTTAAAGAAGATGAGCAGAACAAAATAACTTGGTTGTACGGGAAGCTTATAAACACCGCCGGCTATGCGACAAAATATTAAAGTGCAGACTTTGTGGGCTCGCGTCGCCGCCAATGTAATAATGTTTTGCTTTAACTGACCGATAGGCTCGGTCGCTTGCCTGTCGGCGGACGACACCGCTCTTTTACCCGCTCTTTTACCCGCAGCGTAAAAGAGCGGAAAAAGAAAACATATATATTCGGTGTTTTTACGGGAGGCGTTAAAACGCTGCCACTTGCCTTAAATCTTACTACATACCGCATTTACTCGTGTAATAGCCGCACTATTTATGAACAAGGCCCTTGCTTCTACTTTCCCACAGAACACATATAGGGCCAATCACTGCGTTACGCATAAATAACATAGCAAATAGCCAGATCGAGAACACTATTCTCCATACAAATGCAATCTTCACAGACGGTATCTTCGCACGAAGATGCAATATTTGTCCTGTGAACAGCTGGAATCATGCTGTCGATCGAGGTGAATGGCAATCTGCGTGATCCACGGAAAAGCGAACCGTCAGATTTTCTTCGTAAACAGTGTGGCTATTACTCGAGTAAATACGGTATGAAATATTTAGTGGTTTTCAATTGTGTCTATGAGTTTATAATAAAACCGCACCTTTATATATATATTTTTTTTATTATTTTCACAAAATAAATGATTGATGGAAAACCATTGTCTAAGCGCAGGTTAGGCGTATTCGAAAGTGCATCTTCTGGTCAACGTATACACTCTAAAAAACGCCCGTGCGTCTACTTTCCCGCACAACACTCCGAGAGCCAATCTTTGCAACTTACGGACGCAGCTCAGCGAATGACGACGCCGAAACATATGTTTAGAACAACAAACGCAATCTGAGTTGTGACGTTAAGCAATGCAAGCAATGCAAGCGAGCAATGCAAGCGTGACGTTTTGCACTGCTTACTATCGCAACTCGGACTGCGTTTTTTGGTCTAAACATATGTTTCGGCATCGTCATTCGCTGAGCTGCCTCTGAAAGTTGCGGGGATAGGCTCTCCGAGTGTTGTGCGGGAAAGTAGACGCACGGGCGTTTTTTAGAGTGTATCAGCCGCGGGGGTGGTCTCTCAGAAAAGAGGGTGAGCACAAACTGTGCACATCTCCAAATAGCCCCATGTGCAGTGACCCATACGGCATCAATATTTTTTATTATTTTTTTATGTGAAATGCATAATTTGTTTAGAGAAAATTTGAGCGTATACGTTTTTATACGTGTCTCACCTTGTATAAAAATTGAAACGAAAATGCGTATATACTTAAAAAAGAAAAGAAAATTATCACGTTTCTTGCAGACATAAACTCTAAAAAAAGTCTGTGCGTCTACTTTCCCGCACAACACTCGGAGAGCCAATTAGCGCAACTTACGGAGGCAGCTCAGCGAATGACGATGTCGAAACATATGTTTAGACCGAAAAACGCAGTCTGAGCTGTGACATTAAGCAATGCAAGAGTGACGTTTTGCATTGCTTAATGACACAACTCAGTCTGCGTTTTTTGGTCTAAACATATGTTTCGACATCGTCATTCGCTGAGCTGCCTCTGTAAGTTGCGCTGATTGGCTATCCGAGTGTTGTGCGAGGAAGTAGACGCACAGGCTTTTTTTAGAGTGAGGAATGACTGCTCTTTATGGCGCACATCCAGCGACTGACGGACGGCTCAAAAGTTGAATCTGCACAAGACTAATGAGCATGACGCTTCGCGTTCCTTTTATCTCTGCGCACATCACGTTTTAAAGACCGTTTTTTTTTTGTTTTTTTTTTTATCCCCTATTTGTAAATTGCTGGAGGCAATCCTTACATCGTAGCGATTCGTCCACCGCGTGCTTTACGAGAAAGTAGACGCGCAGAAATTCCTTACAATTCACATACATGCCGCATTCATATTCACACGTGCATTTCGAAGAAAAAAAAACAACAAAAGTTTATCTATATCCGCATTGATATAACTGGGGGTGGAAAGAAATGTATGAGGTGTAACTTTCTCAGAATTCTAAACAACCTCCCTCTCACGTAAGGACGCTTTGCGATCAGTGTGTCCAAGAGAGTTTTCTTTATCAAGAGCATCATCACCCCGCGGTGGGCTAACGAGGTCTATCCATCTTCCCTTCCCCTTCCTATCACAAAGTAGAGCTCAACACTCGGCGCATTTATTTGCGGAACGCCGCTCTCCACTGACAATTAATATATACGACGAAGCATAAACGCAGGCAATCGGCACAAATAATGCTCTGAGCACAGCCGCGTACCGACTGTGCACCCACTGCGGGAGAGATATAATTCTGGTCTTCCCAACATTTGGAATCGAGGCCAGTCTGGCTCGCTACAAGAATACGTTATCCGCGTACAAAAGTCTGCTTTCAAATTCTTTGTTGGCCTTCTCACGCGAAGGGTGTAGTACCCCAACGGCGCGCGCGAAGGAAGTGCAGGAGGCTTTTTTAAAACTTCCAGGGCTGTTCCGCACGTCTGAGCGCGTACACGGGCTTCTAAATCCAGGGCCTCCGAACTGACAACAACACCAGCGGCAGAGGCGAACATCCTGCTCCTTCCCCCCACGGCTCGACCACGAGCGAGGTTGTCGAGGTGCCGACTGCAAAGCACGGCGGCCACCCGGAGAGGCCCGCCTAACCCTGGACGTGAGATGAATGTGGTCCGTGAGCTTCTTCACGAAGGGCAGCGCCGACGCATAACCAACGCGGCTGGCGAATTTGGCCGTGGGCGAGAGAGCGTGGGGCGTCCCCGCCCAGGCGGGAGCGACGTTCCTCCGGAACCACTTTCCTGGTGATTGGCCCAGATCCGGACTCTCCTGTCTTCCGATGCCCGGCAGGGAAACAGGATCCCCGATGTTTCCTTAGAGGCGTTTGGGAACCGTGGAAGTGGCCACGTCCGGGAGGCTTTTCGGTCCGAGGAAACCGGAGCCGATTGCTTTCCTCCCCACTTGCGCCGCGGTGTCCCCTCCCGCTATTTTTGGTGACGCGCTTAACATATATATGAAGCTGACTGTCCCCAGACAGCGGCAGTCTGGAGCGTGGCACGTCGTGGGAGTGTTGACGGCAAGCAGGGACCGGTCATGATCGCGCTCGTGAGTATGCCACGGGCCTCACGAACAGAGCTCGGCCACGTGCGTGTCCGCGAACGAGACTCGGAAGCCGTTGACCCCAACGACAAGAGGCGGCCGAATCGCCCGGCGAGGATGCGGACAACAAAGCCCGGAGTCACGTGGTTCCATCTGGAAAACCGGAACGGTGTCGGCGCTGTCCGTGTCGTGCGACGCAAGCGCGCTCCCCCGGTTCTCAGCGGCAATGAAGCGAGCTAGCAATTAGACTCTGAACGAGGTTGCGCTCTTTCGAACTAGCGGGGTGGTTAATGGCGGTAGACGCGCGCAGATGGCCCCGGTTCGCGGCGTACTCCAGTAAAGCCCCTGATGGTCGCGGGCTCTCAAAGTCCACCAACATGTTGATTCTGCATATTCGTCAAGTTGAACGAAATGCGAAACTTGAGTTCACGAGGAGGCCGTTATTCGAATGTTTTCTTACAGAGTCGCGCGATTTCAAAAACGAGAAAATCAGTCTTGAAAATCAAGGGGAAGGGGTAACAACCGTCAGGCGAACTTTGAAGGTGCTGTTGGTGAGGAGAATACGGGTCTTCACAGTGTAGCACATAAAGCAATGCCTCAAAACCTGAAACCAGAAAAAAGAAGCGACGGACAAAGCACGCAGAGTGTATTTTGCACTCAAGTTTGTTCGCTGACAGTTTTTTCTTCACTGGTTTCTGGCGTTTTTCAATGTTGAAATTTCATCAGCTCACCCGCGTCTTGAGTGTTCAGTACCGTACTCCTCACTTATTACGTAAACATCCGATTGACGTTGGTCGTACCCTCACTGCGAGCTCCTTAAAAGTTGACCGCAACAATAGATAAAAAAATCGATTGTGTTTTATGTTTGTATTTTAGTAAATGTTTTTTAGGGTGTTGCGATATACCAGAATTTTAGCGCACTGCTTGATTCAACGTCCGTTTTGTAAAGCTGGTTCAAGAGCGCAGTCTGGCCCACAAGAGAGTCGCGAGGGGTGCATGCGAGAAACCTGCAGGGCCACCCCGCAGCCACGGCTTCATGAGCCTCCTCGTGCAGGTCTTGCTCGTCTTCACCTTGACGTCGTCGGCCTTTGCCGGAGGCGGCGGCGGTGCCGTTGGCGGAGGGAGCCTGGGGTTCGGCGGTGGCGGCCTTGGATTCGGAGGCGGCGGTCTTGGATTCGGAGGCGGCTCCGTGGTCGTGGCTCCAGTAGCCGCCACACCTGTGGCATTCACCACGCCCGTGGCGCGGGTCAACTACGTGGCGAAACCCGTGGTGAACGTGAATTATGTCGCCAAACCCGTGGTCAACTATGTCGCCAAACCCGTGGCCACCGTTACGCATGCCGTGCGGCCGCGGCTGACCATCGCGGCGGGCGTTCCGGTCAGTCTGGTGGACGGACTCGGCAGTGCCGGGTACGGCGGGGGTCTGGGAGGTGGGTTCGGCGGAGGTCTCGGAGGTGGATTCGGCGGTGGACTCTTTCTCGGTGGTGGCCACGGGCTCGGTTACGGTGGCGGAGGAGCTGGACTCCTTTTGGAAGGCGGAGGTCACGGAGTCGAATACAAGTGGTAGCAGCGGTGCTCATCCAAGCTGCGCTGGGACGGCGAGAGCGGCCTCATCGCCCCTCTCAGTTGTACGTATTCGCTCTTTCTCGCGTGAGTTGAAACGTGGTGGCGCCAGTCTGCCAATATCCCTAGAAACCTTTTCGGTTCCCAGCTATTAGCGGCGAGATGTTTCGGTGGCGCCCTCCTATGGTTCCCCCTTGTGACGTCATTACCTTGCAAACAACAAGTTCGATGGTGTTTGTAAATAGCATGGTGGAAGCTTGAAATCATTGCGCTCTCAAAGGAACACTGCCAACACCGTCAAATTAAAGTTCTTTCATTCCCCTTATTTCCGTCGATGGTATACCCTTCCGACGTCATAGTCAGCTTTTGGGCCAATTGTGGAAGGCCGACCACAGCGACGCTTTCGGTCGCGCACGTCGCCAATACTCCGTTTCAGCTTATGTTGTACCGCAGCGAAGGCTAGAAGCGCGAGCTCATACCGTTGGCAGCTGCGCTTAATGCACGAGAGCTTGTGCCACCGATATCTGCCCAAGTAGCTCGCGCATGTAGCCTTTCCTGCGGTATATCTTAAGGTGAAATGGAGTATAGACGGCGTCATGACAGTATTTGCGAAATCAATGCTACGCGCTATTATCGGGAAACGGTCGATTATGACATTCTTACACATAATTCACTCTTATAATAAAAGAACGATGCGTAAAAATTAAAAAAAAAATATTTAATATATATACACGTACCGGAAGCGTGCCATGGCTACCGAATAGATTGCGCCACTGAGTTTGTTGCCAAACAGACAAGGGGCGAATATCAGCCACAAAGCGCGCTTAGCTCGTCTATCTTCGTGGATCATTGTCCTTCGTAGACCGTGGTTTTTCGCAAGCGAGGTGCACGAGCCTATGCTCCATCTCACAAATGTCTGCAGTAAAGAGGAAGGCACAGGCGCGTGAGCCCAGCTCAGAAGGCTTTTGTTTGTACGAGAACTCGTGCATACGAGGCACTTTCTAAATCCACGCGCTTGTGCCCATGCATTTGTGTTCACTGCAGGTGTTTGTGAGATGGAGTATGGAGTAGTACCGCCAGTGGGGCGTATAATATCATTTTCGAGACCTCTTCGATTGCCTGCTCTACTATGACTGCGTGGTTGCTGCTTCGATACGAAGGGTGCGTTAATTTTTAGGAAGCGCATTGTTTTCACCTAACTTCTTTTCATCTATATCTACGTAATATGATAATTGACAAAAAAAAGTGTATTTTCGAGGTTCTACTTAGAAAGGTTTAGAAAGTGGAGCAGGTGAACACAGTTGGTAGGGAAAGCAGGTAAAAGGAGTGCACTTTCAAAGTTACTACTAAGAGGTTTATTGCGATGCCTCGAGTGGTTTCCGCTCGATATGGCGTATATAGTTATTCGGACAGTACATGCCATTTTCGCATGCACGGGCGACGTACCGTATTGATTTTTGTTTTGCTGTACATAAACGGCCACTTGGAGGTCGGTAGATATGCCCACAGTCTCGATGTATTCCTCAGAGCCGAATGCACTTGAAACACTGTGTGCCAGTTTTGTCGTGCTCTGTTGGACCCACTTCTTGAAAGTGCATCATACCCACGCCTGGGCAACTCAATCCAACTCCGCAGGGACTGCGAAATGGCGTCCTTGCATGGGTTTTCTCCATGGCCCCGAACAGGTGATGATTTCTGGGGGGCCAGTTCTGGCCACAGTAGACATGAACGACCAAACGTCCGACGCGTCGGAAAGATGGTCGAACTCGATTGGCGCCGGCCTATCATGGGGTAGCGGGCATACGTTCACTGTGGCCGTGATTGTCTGGCGCCCGATCGGGTTAGGCCTTCTTTCCGACGCGTCGTACAACCCGTCGGGCGTTCGGCCGTACATAAGCACGGCCCGAACTGGCCCCCAGTGATTATCATTTTTCGAGGTCTCGAAGAAGCCCTGCAAGGATGCCATTGTGCAGTCACTGATGAGCTGGAAGAAGTTGCGCAGGCGTGGGTATGATGCACTTCCAAAAAATCATTCCGGCAGTGCGTGAAGAAGTTGTCGCACCGGTAGCTCAAGGGCATTCGGCTTCGGGAGGAATATATATATATAAGGTGGGGATACCTATTGATCTCTAAGCGGCCGTTATCTGCAGCCCGAAAAGAAAGTGTAAATCAATATGGTATGCCCCTCGTAACTATATACAGGGGAAGTGGTGTAATGTTGTCGAGGACACGTTAACCAGTAAAATATATTTACTTTCAGAGTAACAACTTAAAGGTGTGGACCTTGGCTGCCGATGATTGCATGCAATAAATAGTTCCACTTCAAAAACGTAACCATGAAAAATGGTTGCACCAGAGTGGTTTGCGCGGTCCCTCAACAGGGTACTAGCTTGCTAGCTATGAGCCTGAAGTAAAATATTCCAAATTTGTTCAAACGATGTTGCTCGACGTCCTCGCAGAAGTCTCGAACAAACTTATTTCTTAGTCCGTGTTCTCTTTTTAATTCAGGATTTCCCTACATTCCGCACTGCGGAATCGCACGGCCAGTCCAGAGTTAAAGGCGACCCAGAATAACGACAAGGACAAAAGTGGAGAAAGTGGGTTTCTAGCACGCGCCGTACTTCCGAGTCGATGCGTCACATTTATGTTCTAGTGGCCGACCGATGCGACTCGACGTGGAGCCAATTCGACGCTCAATGAGTATCGGAAAAAGGACAGCCAATGGTAAATAATTAGGGGCCGCCTGACGTAATTACACGTTGGATAGTGCGAAGGCTGCTGATTCACTTCCCTACCACTTTCGATGGACTGTTTATCCTGTAGAGCACATTTCGTCCTCTTGTTTACGGCGCAAGGGCATCGGTAAGCTAAACTTATCTCCAGGATATTGCGATGTCATGCAAAACAGGTTCTCGAAAGGGTAACGGTCCCGCGCATGTGGTCAAATGCCGACTTCCTGGTGAGATACGCAACGCTTTACCCTTTGTTTCAGGCGGATCTGCGGGTCACGAGCTAACAAGTTCTGGGCCACGTCGGTCTTCCTGTACATTTTTGTATATAGCTCTCGCGATACGCTTCTCACCAAATAAAACGCATTATACTATACGGAGCCTGTGTTTTTACTCCTTATATTCACAGTGGGAGGGAGGTGGCGTATACCCGTGTTTCTTTCCGCCTTCATCCGGGGTAGAAATACGGCAAATAAATGCCTCGTTTCTACAGCGCTCAGCGCAAGTTTGCCCGTGAAGAAGCATGTTGTGCCGGCAGCTGACATACATAGAAACATCATGGAAAGCCCCTGACTGGCAGCTCGGGTTTCGCTGGGACACTAATTCTTCTTAAAACCCCGAAGAAACAAAGTCGCTTAACGAAACCTTAGTTTGCCGTCTTGAACTTTTCCAGGAGGCTTCATCTCGCGTCGTATACTCCTAGATACTTAGTGCTTCGTTTGAATATATCTATGAAGGTCAAAGTCAGTGATTCTTTATTCAACCAAGTACGTCTGTCTGGGTGCCGAACAGAGTGTTAGCACCCCCCACCCCCGATCCCCCTTTATATTAACGTTCAGTATTGTCATGGATGACAAGGGAAGGAATTATAGATGACTTAAGAAAACTGAAGATTGAATGCGGTGAACTTGAGGCAAAATATACGTACAATAACAAGCCCTGCGGGTGTTGATCTAGGCGTAAGAGCAGGATCGAGCAGTGGCGTGAGACTCAATTTGACGCAGCGCGCCACGGCTACTGTTATGCCGGCTCTATATTCGGGAATGTGGTAAATCAAAACGCGCCACAACTAACGAGAATTAAGTGACCCTTTCCACATGAGGAACGAAAAGGAACAAGAAACAAACCACACCGGTGAAATTAGAACGTTTTCCTTACGCTTGGAAGCCGTCTAGCTCAGCCACACAGTCCCCTTGTTTTTCTTATTGCCCCACGCGGCAATATAGACCAATGTGCAAAGAAGATAATGTGTTGTTGCATAAAAACGTGAATATGTTCCAAGGTTTCCACACACCAGATATATGTATGTCAACCCTGTAACATGTGTCGGTGAACCCAGGTGGCATCTTTTACAAACTTAGAGGCAATGGCGACAGGGGGCCAAAAAAGCTGCGAAAACCTACAGAATGTCACGCAGGCTCTCGTATTAAAGATTGATGACCTTGAAAATCGGAGTAGGCGGTGTAATCTTCTATTTTACGGTGTAAAGAACGTAGATGCTTACGAGTCGTGGTCGTTATGGAATCACTCGTTCAAGAACTGTGTGAAACGAGGCTTGGCGTGACTCGAACAACACTTGAGAGAGCTCATAGAAAGGCCAATTCCGGTCGGACAGAAACCGACTCTTGATTGCAAACTTTGCGTGATTTAAAGAAAAACAGACCATCATAGGGAACGCCAAGAAATCTAAGGGCCCGGTATCAGTATATCCGAAGATTTCTCTGAAGCGATACGTAGGAAGAGACTGCATCTTTAGGGTTTTGCGAAAGAGTCACAGGAGTGACAATGCGCGGGTCAACCTAAGAAATGCCGCCCTTTATCTTTATGACGTAAAGTATATCATGATGACAACATCAACCAGGTAGGTAGTAAAGCTTGGGTGGCCATGCCCTAGCACACCATCAACTCTTTTCTTGTAATTAATTGTTCAAGTATAAAAAAAATCATGAGTCATTCCACTCTGTGAAGTTGGATGACCAGGAAAGCTGTTTAGCGCACGACACAGACGTGACACGGAATTTTGAAGAAAGGTACGAACAGGTTTATTGTCTTGATAGATGGTCATCGTGACGAAAGGATACGCCCACACATTTTATTTGATGCGTTCTCCACCCCGTGACGTTCGTCGTCTTGTCTGGTTTGCCGTATGCACTTGGTGTTCGTCTTCATCGGTGGTGTTTCCCGCCCGCCGCCGCCGCTGACATTCTCGGTGCCGTTCCCGCCGTTGCTCTTCGTAAGCGCGTTGCTCTTCGGGAGTCCCGGCTATACGCGGCCT